TTTTTACATCAGATTTCCTAAGCCTCAACCCCCACGTCGATGCTACTTAAGTCGAAACTATTACATATAAATTTTGGTCCCGATTGGAGACGGTTAAGACGTGTCGCACAGGGCTCAAATTTTAGATTACCCTGTGAAGTCTTAACCGGCTTTAATCGGGACCGAAATTTATATGTGATATCGTCGGCTTAAGTAATATCCATTTTGGGCATTAAATGAAAAAATTATATTTTTAATATTTTGAGTCCATAGAGGCCTTTGGCCTTTGACGCCTTTGCGACACGCCTTAACCGACTGCAATTGGGACCAGAATTTAGATGTGATATCTTCGACTATGATAGTATCGATTTTAGGTATTAGATGGAAAAAAAGTTAATATTATTTGTTTGAGTCTATACAGGAATCTGTACATAATTTGCCTGTGGCACACGCCTTAACCATCTGCAATCGGCACCAAAAGGATACGTTATATCTGTGACCGTGGTATTACCGATTGAGCCCTGTATGCAGCTCTCAAGAAAACGGTCAAGAAAAAATTGTCATTATTTCGCGTGTGTGTCCAAGGAATTTTGACATTTTTGATACTTCACAGCCTGTTGCCTCACTCTTTCCTCAAGAAATAATGGAACGGGCATATATTTCTGTTGCAAACCTGGGTTGCCTTGTGCTCTTTTTTCACAAAAGCTTTAGAAAACCGTAGTAGAAAGCGTAGTAAATTTCTTAAGAACTGCGTACTGCCTTAAGGAAATTTGACTCAAAAAAATTTCTTAGCCATTTCTTGTACGTCATTTTATATGGAGTTTTTGCTTTTCTTGAGAGCTGCATACAGGCCTTAAGACTGAAAAAAAATCCATTTGATTTTTAAGGACCACCCTTATGTACATACATACATATGTATATGTACATATGTACATAACTTTTTCTTTCAACCTTGCCTTTCCATTACAGTCTTTGTTTTTCCGATCCTTATTTTGCTTTGTCTTGAAAAAATATACCTAAGTGTATGTGTGCATGTTCATATGTACGTATGTATGTTTAACTAAATTTTCCCTCCTGTTGTCTGCTTCGCACATTCCAGATGACATAAGTGACTTATTAAAATTTTACAAAAAGTTCTCCCTGCCAGAGGATGTGGCAAGTCCCGCTACAGTTGCAATGCAATCGTCACCGTTGCTGCCACTTGCAGCTGATAGTCACATTGCAACAACAACACTAGCGTTGAATTCGGTCATGCCAAGCATAGCCGTGACAACATCATCGGCAGGAGCAGCAGCGACAGTTGACTCGGCGGGCAATGCGACAACAATAGGCGCCACATCAGCTACTGACAGCAGCACCGGCTCTGGGTCAGAGACTAGTGCCAGCAGTGCCAGCGTCAGAGCCGCTCATATTGCTGGCACAGCATCGGGTGCTGGCACATCGAATTCAAATGCTGCTGCCAGCATAGCGACTGTTGCCAACCCGCCACCTTCAACGACACCAGCCAACATGGGATGCATTCGCTATTGGCGCAATCCGTTGAATTTCACGATAATGCTGACGCTGCGAGTTCGAGTAAGTAGAAGTGCTTAGATCTAATTTCTCGATTTTTATCTGTGTAAGTAGAAATAAGAAAAAAAACAACCAAACGAATCGGTAAGTAAATTAGGAGATAAGCAAAAACTAATCAACCCAAATAATGGCAAGTGCCAAGAAAAATTCTAAAGCGGACTAAAAAAAAAAATATTGGTTCCTATTTTAACCCAACTGTCGCTAATCTAAACTCGACGTACATAACTGTTGTGTAGCGCATGTATGTATGTATGTATATCTACATGCAATGCACATTTAACGCATAGAAGTTCCACGACACAACCATGAACATATCGCCCACATCCTTCCCGTTTTCACTTAAAATTACTGATTTTCAATGTTGTGTGCCTGCAGTCTAAAAGTGAAGCAACATTTGTTTGAAATTTGTTTCAAAAAATCTTTGTCTTAAAATCAGTCTTTTGTGTTTTCTAATAAATGAGAAATTTTTGATAAACCTCGCTACAATCCTGTTGCATGTCTACTAAATTGCTTGAAGTTGCTCAAAGTGGCTTGAAAAAACGAAAACTTTCAAATTCTAATCAAATCAAATCAATTTGTGCTTGCTAATATATATTTGCTTACTTAATTGGCTCAAGCTTTCCGGCACGCTCAAAAGTTAAACAAAAGTAATATCTAAATTAAAAAGAAGTAAGAATGGAGGTCAAACGATACCCAAGTAATATATGCACATTTGTACATACATACATATGTACATACATATATTGCATAGAAGCAACCAACTCATTCTAAAAATATAAAAGTGCATGGGGCTTGATTTAAGCAAATCGAACTTAGCACAAACATGTCCGTCGATCCAAGTCGAAGCTGCTGTCATTTAAGTAGATATGCATGTCTTTTATATATACCCAGTGGGAAAATGTAATGTATGGTAATCGAAAAAATAACCAGTAAAACAGCCGAAAATGCATCATTTTCCCTACGGCGATATCCTAAGAAAAGTATGGCATTCTATTTTGCATTACCTAGCATCGAATATGAAGAGTAAAAGAATCTGAAACTCATAAGATATTATAAGATTTATCACGCATGTAACGTATTAACTACTACTTTTCCCACTGGGTACCTATGTTGGCAAGAGTCCTTGCACTTTATGCAAATTTTCAGCATGACAATCCGATTCCACAGTATGTTTGTTTACATAGCTGCATATATACATACATACTTATGTATGTACATATGTATATGTATGCAAGGATATATACGGACCACAAATGCAGATATTTACAGTGCATTTAAAATCGTGAGTAAATATGTACTGCATACATACATTTTATTTTCTTTGATTACCATTTAAAGTTCCGGTTAGTCCTCTATTACAAATTTTGTTCTGCAGTCATCGATTTGCTTTACTATATCGCTTGCTTAGAGTGAAAAGTTGCTAAGTCCCTGTTCAAAAATTGTGCAAGAGAGGAAAAAAACTTCTTAAAGCTTCTTCAAGTATTAAAGTATTTGACAAAACTTCGCAAAACTTTGAAGACAACCTTTTGCCTGTTGAAGGCAAAGCAAAACTGCATACAAATCAGAGGCATTCGATCTTTATTAAAGGATTTTGTACTATTTTGGACTTGCCGAATTTTCGGAGGTTTTTTTGGAATTCACAAATTTCCCTTTCATTGAATATAAACGAGAAAACATAAAACAATGATCTTTATTCGTTTCAAAACGATGCATTTTTGATTTTTTCTAGCCTCCTGTATCAAAATATGAGTTTCCATGAAAAGCGGACTTAGCAACTTTTCACTCTAAGCCAGCAATATCGTATATACAAGTAATCCCTTCTAGCCTAGTTCCCGTTTGCATAGTTATCTGATCATCTGAGGACTGGAACCTTTTCTACAAACGTTTTCGCAAAAATTGGATGACGGAAATCTTTAAATTGCATTTCGTTAGAAAGATAGCTAACAGCTGTAAATTTGAAGAAGGAAAAGTGGTAAGATCAAAATCTTATGAACAAAAAGAAATAATTTCGAAAGAGTTTTTAAAAATTCCCCTTCAGATGGCCTACGCTGGCCTTAGTGGTAACAGTTTTCTAAAAACAAAAATGTGAAAACATGAGGAGGAAAAAGCATTTTATTTTGATGAAAGAAACTTAAACTTAGATGTTTATGATAATTTAAGTTTTTGCTTTCAAAATCTTTAAATAACTAAATGAGTATTTATATAAAAAATAAACTGTTATTGGCTCACAAAGTAGGGGGTAGGCTAGGCAAACGTGACCAATGATAATCTTCAGTTTGTCGACTGACACAGAAATATTTGGGAGCAGATTTCCGCGATTTCTAGAGTTTATGGAACTCCAAACTGTAGTAAAAGGTCCTTATTAGCATCACCATATCAATGAAGATCTCAAACTGGCATTGACATAATGAAAAAAGTTCAGGGTGTTTTGCTTCTGAAATAATATTAGTCTGCTAGACAACACAAAGGCAAAAAGAGTTTTTTTACTGATTTTAAAATCACATATGTAGTTACCAGTATCCTTAAACTATTTAAAGTGCATTTAAAATTCCATTTCGGTAGGAATTTTAGACATTAAAGCATAAAGTAGTTGGAATTGGTGGTAAAAACAAAATGACACTGAAATGCATTTATTTTTCTTTTAAATTACTCCTTAAGTAAAAAACGCCGAGATACGTAAACTGAATTTTGGGTCGTAGATTATGGACCTGTATACCGTTTTCCTGAAGGTAATTTGCCTAAGATATTTTAATTTTTATGAAGAAAAATTCAAACTTTAACAAGGAAATAAACAAAAAATAACATAATTTTTTTCCAAAAAAATAAAGCTACTAAAGATGAAAATCGATGGATAAATAAACAACTTTTAAATGGTTAAATGAGAATTACGATATTAGCGGCAGGAAATAATGTTACTCATACGCCATGCCGTACATGGCCTTACTCTGTACATACTCGTACATGGCATACATATGAGTAAATTTTTCCTTGTTAAAGTTCAACAATGCAAACTCAAAATGAAAATATTTTGAAAAAGTGAGGGTACATTCCAAAACGTCAAAATACAAAGCATCGGCCTCTTTTATTTCTAAACCTCGGTAGATTGTAATGCCAAATGTGCGCAGCTTTCAAGTAGGTTGCGCAAGTTAGACTTCTTTTCTATTGCGGTTTAGTAATAAAAGAGACTGGTGCTTTGTATTTTGATGTTTTGGAATGCAGCCTGGCTCATCTAAATCCGAACCTACGATGCAGAATTAAGTTTACGTATCTCGGCGTTTTTTTGTGTGTAATTTTAGGGTCTCTACACTGTTGTAAATATTTCGTAATACATCTGCTCGCGATAGCGATATCTACATATGTATTTTTTTAATTTCTTTGAAAAATTATATTACTTTAACAGCAAAGTTTTCGGATGTTAAATATTTAAACCGTTGCTTTTCTACAAAGTCGGGATATCGGTTTTATTGGTGTAATTTAAATAAAATTTAATACATATAACATCTTTATAAGCTGTAAACGCACACATATTTACACATGGCGCAAATGTACAAACACACATAATTTTGACTGTGTGAAAAGAAATGAAAAACTCCGCATCAAAGAGTCAATGCATAACACAAAAAAAAA